CTGTAATACTTTCAATAAAGATAAATTTAAAATAAATAAATGTACCCTAATGCTCATGAAAAAAAAAATCTGTTTCAATATGCTTGTCACATTTTGCAATCTTTCCGGGTTTAATGATTTTCCGTGAGTTATTGTTAAACCTTTTTGTTCGGTTTCTGAGCTCGCTCTGCTTTTATAGCCGCCCCCAGGTTCTGGACGTCTTGCCTCCTCTGAGATCTCCTGCGGTCCTGTTGTTCCAACTGCCAGGAAATGGAAAACGGTTCAGCAGAAAGACCTCTGGACCAGGAGATCCGAGTCCACGACCCGCCCCCTCCATACAAACAAACCGGCCTCCGTTTGCTCGCCTACGAAATGTGGGGAGAGGATAAATAGCATTTTCTAGCCTGTACTCTATGCTCATAACTAGACTAAAGACATTTGTGTAAATTTAATTCTTATTTTTCTCTTACAGGTTAAAAACCTGGCACACAGAGAGGTTACGTAACCTCTCCAAGGACACACAAGGTCGCTGCCCTCCCACCCCCAAGCAGACGTGTCCTGGAAGACAGGGTCCTTCTGTGGGTCCCTCCTTCCTCACCTCCCACCCGGCGGAGCAGCCGCCTCTCCAGCTGAGGCCACTCTGCAGAGCAAGGAGCCGGGCTCCCGAGAACGTTCATCCTCAAGCATCAGGCAAACCTGGCTCCTAATCACTGTCATCGTCTGCAGGCCGCCCACCTCTGAAGCTCTTTATAGTCCGCGTGCTTTCTCCGCTCATAACAAAATTCACTTTTATGTCCTGTTGGCCTTAAACTTGGGCAGAAATAACACTTATTATGGTTTCCTGAGTTTCAGATTTCACCCGTTTTCCTTTCCCTTCATCACAATTCCTTCAGTCTCCTAAGACGCTGGTGCCGGTCACGATGTGTTTTAACTCCCATGTCCCTGAGTAATAATTCATAGCACCCTCTCCCTCTCACAAACCCCGTTCCGACAATCTCAGAGCCTTCGGCTGTGGTCCCTACCTTCTCCGTGGTTGTTTAATTCTACCCGAGGATATTTTTTCCATTGATTTTTAGAGAGAGAGGAAGGGAGGGAGGGGGAGAGGGGGAGATAGAGAGAGAATCACCGATACATCGATTGGTTGCCTCCCGAACGTGCCCCAACCCAGACCAGGGATCAAACCTGCAACCCAGGTACGTGCCCTTGACCTGGAATCGAGCCCGAGGCCCTTTGCCGCACAGGCTGACGCTCTAACCACTGAGCCACTCCGGCCAGGGCCCTGCCTTCTGTTCTTGCTCAGCGTGCTCCGGACGCTGCTGACACCCCCCTTCTCTGTGAACCTCACTAGCCCCTCCCGGCCGCCCAGTGCTCAGCTCACCGGGGGGACCGTGGCCCCTCTGCTCACCTCGGGAATTCTCCCCCCTATTTCCCGCACACAGAGGGACAGATTCTCACCTCCAACCACAGGCATCCAAAACTCCTGACCCTAAACTTTATTTCCTATTTCCAGTTATCCCCTGTTTTCTTTCCTTTTCTTTCCTCAGCTCTCCCTCTCTACAGCTATGAATTACGGCTCTGCAGACACATACGTGGGCTCGAGCCGTCCGGTGCTTCATCAGTCATAGCACACGTTTGCTCCAAATCCAGCTTGGGCCCTGCGAGGGGTCTCTGGGTGACCCTGCGAGGGGTCTCTGGGTGACCCTTTAGCGTTCCAGCTGGTGGATTTAGGAAAGAAGTAGGGTTTCCTCCCCAGCGTGGGTGGGCGTTACCCAACCCACCGAGGGCCTGGCCACAGGGAAATGTGGGGAGCGGAGAATTCGTGTGCGTGGGTGGGTGTCTCTCTTTTATTTTCTTCCCGACTGGTTGAGCCGAGAGGTGGGTGTGCGCCTCGCTCGGGCCAGGACTCACACCATCAGCTCTCCTGGTTCTCAGGCCTTTGGACTTGGACCGAATGCTCCCTTCGGCTTCCCCGGGTCTCCAGGCGGCAGATGGTAGATTGTGGGACCTGCCGACTTCCGTGACTGCCTGAGTCAACTCCTTAAAATAGATTTCCCTGGGTTCCTATGGGGTTTACATGTGTTTGAGAGAGATGACATATATGAGATAGATATGAGAGTCACACACACACACGACATAGGCTTAGGACAGGATTCTGCGGGACACTCAGGTTGCTTAGGCCCGGGAATTACTACAGGGATCTTCGCCTCTAACTGTCGGTTAACTGGGTCTGCCTGTCCTTGCAGGAATTCCAAGCACCCGTGGGCTAGTGAGCAAGTGTTTTTTGGAAAAGATGGAATAAATCTCCCCTGTAAGTTTCTGAAATCTCCCCGACTGCCGCTGTGTCCCTAATCTGACCGTATCAGGAACGCCTGAGACACCTGCTGAACACACATCCCTGCCTGCGTCCCGGGTGTGCTCAGGTTCCCTGCGGCGGAGCCCAGCACCTCGGACCTTACGCCCGCCGAGGAATCCCTTACACACGCCTGAGAGCGTCAGAAGGGTTTGCCACAGGCCACGGAGGAGGGCAAGCCCTGTTCTCCCTC